ACGCAGCAGGTAAACAAACCGTCCCGTCCTGCCAGGGGCTTTCCCTGAACAAGCGGTGTCCCAAGTTTGGGAAACACTGGTATAGATAATACTTAGTACTGCCACGAGTGCAGAGGACTGGACTAGATGACCTCTCAAGGTCCCTTCCAGTCCTATAATTCTATGATACTATATGCTCAACTTTAATCATGTGAATTGTCCCATTAAGTCATGCTTAAAGCAAAGCATATGCCTAAAGCTGTTCTCAAACACCTTATGGGATTGAACCCTGAGCCGCAAGACGATATAGATGTTATTCTTCATGTAGAGTCCTTGATATTGATGTTGTATTAAATTACATCAGCTGATATAGTAAAGTATATTAGTAGGGATTACAGCTAAAGCTGAGGGAAACTCACTAGGTCTTTTGGTCATGACGCTTGTTAGTTTTGATTTTCACACATTCATACTGATTGAGTTGCACTCTGAGTTTTAATTTTGAACCAAATGTGCACAGGAAAGCCAAAACTCAGAACAAAATCAGCATTGCCTGTAGGTTTCTGAGGTTTTGAGATACCCAGATGAACCACCCTGTGAACTTATCACAGAAGACTCATTACAAATCATAAACCCAGAGGTGAAAGTAGGCCGGTACGGGCCAGTATGGCATACTGGTAAGAAGTGGCCACCGGTACCGGGCCGCGGCAGTGCTTTAACGTCGCTGCTCCTTCTCCCCCTCCCCTCCCAGGGCCACCGACGGGTAGGCACCCTACCGGCAGGGCCACCGACAGGGCGTGAGGGGAGCAAAAGGGGCAGCTGCCCCAGGGCCCGGCGATTTAAAAGGGCCAGGGACTCTCAGCTGCCACTATTGTGGCAGTGGCCAGAGCCCTGGGCCCTTTAAATCATCACCGGAGCCCCAGGCAGCATGGCCCAGGCAGCGTGAAAGGGCTGGATGGGGGAGGCTGACCTCAGCCCCACCCCTTCCACCTGAGGCCCCGCCCCTTCCGGGGGCCTGGAGCCAGGCCCCTGTACTGGTAAGTAATTTATCTTACTTTCACCCCTACATAAACCTTAGTCTAGAAAAAAAATTGGGCCAATTCAGCAACAGCTGGAAATTTTACTGAATTTTGCCAAAAAGCTTGGGGGAACAATAGGACTGAAAAGAGGTTAGATGGAAGTCAACTCATTTCATTTCCATATTTGTTCTTTTAACTAGGCAAGTTACAGATGGCTTGTAGCTTCAAAGCCAACTTTTTCCATATCACTTAGTACAGTGCTATATTCTTGGATTATGTCTTGCAGGAACAAATGTTAAACTACACAAAGTTACCAAACAAGATTTTACAATGTATGATATTTATGAAGACATTAACTACTGACTAATTTATCTCTGGTATTTGTGTGCCATCAAATCACTAAGGTGATAATCATAAGCACTGTCATTTTTCATTATGTCTGACACCCAGTACTTCCTAACAAAAAAAGCTGAATTCTCCTTACTTTATTCATGCAAGTGGTCTCACCGCATGAAATGGGACTAGTTGTGAGAGTGAAGCAAGGGGATTTTGGCCTATCAGCTCTAAGGACCCAATCCTACAAGGTACTGAGCAACTTCAACTTCAGCTTTACTAGGAACTGAAGATGCTCAGAACCTTATAGGAGGCTGTCAGCACCTACTTGGATAGGGCCCTAAATAGTAAAGCAAAGGGAAAAAAAATTATTTTGCAGACTTCCTTCTAGGAAAGAGGAATGGAGCGTTCTAGAAAGGGATGAAAGAGAAAAGAGCCCAGTGTGCTATAGAGCAAGGGTGCCTAACCTGAGCCTGAGAAGGAGCCAGAATTTACCAATGTACATTGCCAAAGAGCCACAGTAATACGTCATCAGCCCCCCCCATCAGCGCCTCCCCTTCCCTCCGTGCACCTCCCAATCAGCTGTTTCATGGCATGCAGGAGGCTCTGCAGGGGGAGGGTGGAGGAACGAGAGCACGGCAGGCTCAGGGGAGGGTGTGGGAAGGGGTGGCGTGGGGGCAGGGTCTGTGGCAGAGCCAGAGGTTGAGCAGTGAGCACCCCCCAGCACATTGGAAAGTTGGCGCCTGTAGCTCCAGCCCCGGAGTCGGTGCCAATACAAGTAGCCGCATATTAACTCGTGAAGAGCCGCATGTGACTCCGGAGCCACAGGTTGGCCACCCCTGCTATAGAGGAAAAGATACACAGACAGCCTTCTTTAAAGGTGTTTTTGGGACCGGAGCCTGCCGCCACTGAAGTCAAAGACAGAATGCCCATTGACTTCATTAGGAACAGGATGGGCCCTGAAATACAGTCATTTAATCATCATTGCTCTCTGACACAAGTCAGTGCAATATTTATAAGCCTATAAATACCTCTTATACTTTCGGCTCCTACAAACCAGTTTATTACCACTATACTATGCCATAGCCAGCCCAAGTGTGATTACTGTCACCCTGAAGAGCTGTAAAAGACTATGTTATCTGTCCTTTGTTTCAGGTGTGGGTGAATTCAGTTATTTAATCTCTCCTACTCCAGTTCTCAAGAATCATATGGCAAGGCCTACATGAGGAACATTTAGTTTTGAGAGTGCTTGGCCTGTAATTGGAGGCATATAAACAGAAAACAATATTTAAGGTCTCTAGAGGTCAGAACATTGCTTGCTGGATCATTTGGGCAAGTGCTTAGCCCCAAACAATCATCAGCAAATTAAATGTTTGGTATTCTGTTTTAAAGAACACTGGAGACACTTTGTAGATTTGTTTCTTATTGCTGTAGCTTTCATTAAATAAAATGTTTATAATATTAATTAATTCTGCATGTCACAAAGAAACAGCCATTTGATTTCCATTCAAATCTCAGTTAGGAAAGGGCATGACTGCCACACAGTTCATTCAGTGCCACCTTTCTGACTTCTTACGGTTGGAGGCTCTGGAAGATTTGAGTGGGATACTGCCATATTTCAAACAAAGTTGATCATCCATTTTATAGTACAGAATATGTTAAAAAAGGAATGTTGCATTTACTATATAGTGGCTCAGAGCAATTAATCAGTATTACACATGCTGCTATTCTGCTTTGAAATATAAGAATATCCACAAGAGGGAATTCTACAGCCTTCCTCCCCTTTGAGTCTCTGTAAAGGGGTTCACTCATCACAGTTGCACTTCCTTAGCAGTATCTGGGAATTAGCTTTCACCCTGTCTTGTACCCCCTTCTGCTAGTTGCTCATACTGTGGCCCCTCTTTCTCTCTGTGCCTCAGGGTATTCCCTCTTTGTGACTTGTCCCTCCAGCCAGGTCACTATATAGTCCTCCCCTTTCAAGGTAACAAAGTCCCATCAGACAAGCTGTCCAAGTGCCACCTCAGACAGACAGTCTTCCGTTTCACATCGCCAGGTCCTGTGCCACCTTCCCAGTGGCCAGTAGGGAAACCCAGGCCCTCCTTCTACACTGGGTTCCAGCTCAGGAACCCCATAACCAGCAGTCACAGTCTGTGCAATCCCACTAATTTCTGCTGTTTCCCTGGGCTTCTTCCAACCCAGCCTTTCTCAGGCTTTCTTCCTCGTAACTTCTCTGGGTAGACCCTTCTTTCAGGGCTAGGATCAAGGGCCTATTCTCCTCCCTGGATGTCCTCTTCACCACCTCTCTGTACCCAGAGAGTAACTGAAGACTCCCTCCCTTTAGCCCTCTTCTGCTCTCATCTTCCTGGCTTTATGCTAACCAGCCTGCTCCTGCCCAGCTGGGCTTCATGATCCGTTAAGCCTGGCTCTCCCTCCAGGTGCAGCCAGGTACCATAACTGACCTCTCAGGCTCACATTAACCCTTTCAGGGCCTGTGGGTTACACACCGCATCACAGTCTCCGAGGACATCAGCAAACCCAACAGAGAGTGATTTTTAAACATGTCCAAAGGAAGTACAATGTAGTATCACATGACAGAGCATACAAATACTAGCTTCTTAGAACTTTCCACTTATGGGTCCTTTTGAATAGGTTTCCTTTGTGAAATATGTATAGATACGTAGAGAAAGGGTGGTAGTTAGGACACTACCAGGGACTCAGGAGACCTGGCATCAATTCCCTGCACAGCCACAGTCTTCTTGCATGACCTTGGGCAATTCACTTAGTCTCTCTGTGCTTCAGTCCACCGTCAGTAAAATGAGAATAATAGTCCTTTCCTATCTCACAGATGTGTTGAGAGGCTACATAGACTGTAAGCTCTTTAGGGCAAGGACTGTCTTTTTGTCCTGTATTTGTAGAACATCTAACACAGTGGGGTCCTGGTCACTGGGGATCCTAGGTGATACCACAATGCAAATAAAGAATAAAGATAAAAAAGATTGTGAGGCACTTAGATATTACAGTGAAGTGGGTCATATAAATACCTACTAGATCAATATTTATACATTGCTTATAATAGAATTATTATAAGTAAAGGAAATACACTCTAATAGCCTAGTACCTCAGTAGTCCCTTCTCCGGGGATTCTTTCCTAATCAAACACTTTGGCACTGAAGAGCAATAACAATAAAACACTGAGTAGGAGAGGGGAGCTCCCAGCTTGCTCCTTTTGTAATGTCTCTTCTTTGAGTTTTCCTGCAAAGAGCCTCCAGGTTCTGATTTCTGTTGGTACGTTCCCCTTTAACTTGTTTCTGTCAACAAAGTAAGCAGAAATGACCCAGAAACGTGGGGCAAATACTATTCCTTCCTCTCTCTGTATCCTGCCCTCTCTCCCCCTTTTCCCCTCAGAGAAGAGAACTGAAACAGTTCTTCCGCATCTAGGGTCTGCTGGGGGGCAAGGTAGGGCGCTATGAGCCCATGGAGGAGAAATTAACTTTACTTTTCTTTATAAAACGGCACAGTAAGTCCTCTGACAATGTGTGTTATTGTTAGACTTTCCTGTTAAACAGTCCAAGAAACAAAGAGAACTCTAATATACATTTTGGTATAATCAAAGCACCATGCTAGTTTGTCCTTTTCAAAGTATTCCTGTTTTTCCCTATTACTGTTTTTTAGATATGGAGAAAAATTCTTCCAACATGATCCCTCTTGCTGAAAACTCTCCTAATAAACAAGAGACTGTGTGTATTTTTGGAACAGGAGATTTTGGAAGATCTCTGGGGTATAAAATGCTCCAGTGTGGCTACTCAATAGTGTTTGGAAGCCGAAATGCACAGACTTCCAGTCTGATTCCCAAAGGCACAGAGGTGCTGAGCCATGGAGAGGCTGCTCAGAAGGCTGACATTATTATTGTAGCAATTCAGAGACAACATTACAACTTTCTCACAGACTTAACTGAAGTTCTCCATGGAAAAGTATTGGTGGATGTAAGCAACAACCTCAAAATAAACCAATATCCTGAATCCAATGCAGAATACCTTGCTCAACTGGTGCCAGGCGCTAAGGTAGTGAAAGCATTTAACACCGTGTCAGCATGGGCCTTGCAGTCAGGCACGTTGGATGCAAGCAGACAGGTAAGATGAAAGAATAAGAGCTTCTTGTAAATTATATCATATGGCAATTTCTGAACAAAACAGCAAAATACATATAAATAATAGAGAAAAGTATCAGACAAGGTTCAGATGCAACTTCATTATGATCCCCTGTGTTCAGTCAAATAACTAAGCCAAAAAATCCTTTCATGCTCAAATATGATGGTTTGATCTTAGCCTAGAAATAAATCTCTATCCCCAACATTTAAAAAATTGATTTTCCCTGCCTTTTGATCGTTAAGCACATGTCCCCGACCCTCAAACCACAGGAAGATGTTAACAGAGATCAAAGAAGGGAACTACTGTTATGTATCTACAGTGTTGGGAGGATTTTAAAATCATCTAAAAATGTTAGTAAGTTACAAAAGAGGAACGTTAAAAAGAGGGAGAAGACCAGGATGAAATGAGGGTTGTAGGAAGCTGAAGATGGGAAAGACTAAGGAAAGGAATTGAGAAGAAAGAACCAAAGAATCAAGAGAAGAGGGAAAGAAGAGAGGAAGAAGCATAATGAGGGCACTTGGACAATGCAGGAGGAGAACTGAGACAGAAAGGAATGTAGGGTGGAGAGGAAATATCAAGTTGTATAAATCACACTTCCATTCTGGTTACTTTCAGGTAGTGGATAAGCGTGGAAGCAGATATGTCCCTTCCCACAGAGTTCAGAAGCAAGGCTGGACTTATCCGGAGTTTAGACGTTTTGAGGGGAGGGGCAGGGGGCAAGAAGGGCATGGAGATTCTGATACTTAGGCAGCTTGGGATGGCTGGAGGAACTATGGAGTTTGTTAGCCATCTTCATGGTTCTCTGATCCTTGGTCCACTGTGTGCTGGGGTAGGCCTGAGAAGCAGCTTATTGGAACTTCAGGGGTTACTTTAAGCTGCTCCAGGTGCAACTGTTCCCAAGGGACTGCTCTGGCAGCCAGAAACCATCAGAATTCCCTTACGCCATGTGCTGCCTCAACTGGTCACTTAAGCCATCATTAAACCTGCTTCGTACTGCCAGGGTAGAGCCAAGGATCTGGTGCCTTGTACTCCTGTCCAGGCTTATCTCTGCACAGATGTAGCTCCCTTCAAACTGCACTATGGTCAGAAGCTCCAAAAATCCCCATTATTGTGGATCTGAATGAGAGCAGATTGCCTTATTTCTCCAGACTCCAAGATGAGTACTGTCTTTCCCAAAACACCCCCCGCCCATCCCTTCTGGCTGCCCTGTGCACATGATAATTGGCTGGTGAGGGTACGCTTTTCTATTACCCTGCATACCCATATGAGAGAGGCTCCCTCTACATTGTTCTCAGAATCCTTGAAAAGAAATATTTATTTTAATGACAGGTGATCTATATTCCTATTACCTGTATCCTGATTGCTCTGGGCCCCTTGGGAATCACTGCTTTATATGTGTGGGGCAAAAGTGGATGACTGTGACCATTTGTATAAAATCCTAGAGAACCCTATGCCAGTAAGATGCAATTGTGTTTACAAATTGCTTGACAAAGTTGTCTTCCAAAGCGTGTGCTAAAATCCAACAGTTCTAGCTAAATATCATTGTTAAGTGTATTATATTTTGCTATTTTCATATTAATATGATTGTTTCACTTTAAACCTCCCACCTCCCCAATGAAAAGGTTTTACCTCTGATTCCGATTCTCAGTAGCAGAATGTTATCGTTTGACCCTTGCATCAAAGACTAGCAAGAAAGCCAATGATTTCTAGAAAGTTTGGAAATACAGTCAACTTAAAGGTCTTATTTTACAGGTCAATAGTAAAAAAGTCTGTCCCAAACATATGTCAAAATAAAGCCCATTCTTTTTGTTGCAGGTGTTTGTCTGTGGAGATGACAACAAAGCCAAACAAATGGTGATGGATATTGTTCGGACTCTTGGTCTTACACCATTGGATCAAGGCTCTCTCTTGGCAGCCAAAGAGATAGAAAATTACCCACTGCAGCTCTTTCCAATGTGGAAGTTTCCCATCTACTTGGCTATTGGCCTAAGTGCATTTTTTTTCTTCTACAGTTTGATCCGTGATGTAATCTACCCCTACATATATGAAAACAAAGACTTATCATTTTTTATTGCAATTTCCATTCCAAATCGGGTCTGCCCCATAGTGGCACTCATCCTTCTTGCTTTGGTTTACCTTCCTGGCATAATTGCTGCAATTCTCCAGTTACACAGAGGTACAAAATACAGTCGTTTCCCAGAATGGCTAGACAAATGGATGCTCTGTAGAAAACAGCTTGGATTAGTAGCCTTGGTTTTTGCTTTTCTACATGTTTTGTATACTCTTGTTATCCCTATTCGCTATTATGTAAGATGGAGATTAAATGTTTACGTCATATCTCAGGTAAGTTTCTGTTCATTTCTCCCCACAACCCATGTATGCTACTATTTTGTAGGTTGAGTTTCAGAATTTCATGTCAAAAGTCATATTTGTATTGATTTTATGCTAGTGAATTTCTTTGTATCTTTGGTGTTTCCTCTAGGCATCTGTATTTCCAAAGATCACTGGTGCTGTGCTTAAATGGGGGACTTCTGATCTCAATCCTCCTTCTGGCTAGTGTAGTGATTAACAACAGGTGCAGAAAAATATTAATTATAAATAATTTTGAGGTACATGTTCCATATTTCTGCATATCCCTTTGAGAGTGGCACATTTACTGACATTCAGAAAGTCATGCCTTATTTTTAAAAATAACCATATTCCCTCAATCATCAATAGGTCTATCAAAATGTACTGTTCACGTTACAAAGCTATATTAATGCTACACTAAGGCTGTATGCAACACTGTACCTGCTGCCTCTGAGTGGCACATGCTATGGAAGGCCCTGCATGCTGGCAGTTCAGGACACCCCACTCTGTTCATGAGACAATCTGGTCTGCTGTTTCAGATTCTTTTAATCTATTTACAAAAAGCCTTTTCAGTTCACCTTAAAGAAACCTCATGTTAAAAGGCATTTTTCTGTCCATTGGAGCTGCAGCTACTGTACTATTAAAGTATATGTGATTTTTTTTCTTCTTCAGATAAAGGACAACAGAACAAATCCATTTAACAACACTACGGGCTGGATTAGTGACTCTTACTTGGCTTTAGGCATCCTGGGATTTTTTCTGTTTATCTTGCTGGGAATAACTTCCTTGCCCTCTGTCAGCAACAGCGTCAACTGGAGAGAATTTCGATTTGTACAGGTGAGAAATATACCTTCTTTCAACTAAAAAACTAAGTTCATGTCCTTTCTCTCTGCTGCATTCCCTGCACTTTGCTGTCAACTTTCGTGTTTCCGTGGTAGCTCATGATGGTGGCATTGCGGCCACCACCTACATAAAGTAAAATTAGGAAAACTGAACTTCCAAACAACAAATGAGAAGTTACAATGACAAATGTGTTGCTTTCAGAAGATGGTTGTACAAAACAGAGTGATCAGTTACATCGAGTAAACCCCAGAAATATTCAGCCACTGATTAAAAACCCATGTTCTTTCACTAATGATTTTGACTCATGAAGTATTTACTCCATGTTGAAATTTCAGTTAACATTAGTCTGGAAATTCACTGTGTTGAATAAATTGACAATTATTGTCACTGTGAAGTGCCAACAATATTCAGGCAACATACAAGCAACTATACCATCACTTTTTGCCATTTCATAAAAGAAAAGTCAATATTAACAATCCATTTTCCCCTCTCAACACTGAAAAAATGTGGTGATTTTCTAAGTGATTGTCATAAAATGATGCACTCTATCTGGCAGGAGGTAGCTTTTCTTTAGACTCTCCCTATAAGCCACCCAGCCTTCCCCCCGTCTTCCCCCCCCCGTGAGATCATAAGCATCTCTTAAAAGGAATTGGGCAAAACATGCCCCATCCCCCAGAACAATCAGAACTATTAGCCAAAAATATGTTTATGTGGGTGAGGGTGAGAGAGTTAGCTCGGATTTCACCACCGCATTTACCTCATTTTCAAACATAGCAATTGGACATCGTTCAGAGGTCCCAGGGTTTGAAAATCAGGACTTACATATTTGTAGCAGTACTGATGCTATTGTGCATCTGTAAAAGAATGGAGTGTATGATTAAAAGGGTATTGTTCCTTTAAGGGGACAGGCTGGAGACTAAAGCCTGGGAATAATCAAAGAGGCCCTGGCAGGGCTGAGTTCTATAAAAGAAATGGGAAGCAGGGAAGCACGGGAGAAGTAGATGTCAGGTAGGCTGATGTGAATGACAGTTGCTCTCATAGGCACTAGGAGACAGACCTGGAACTGATTCAGAGACTTGGGTATGGACTTTAAGTTTGGGCAGCTTGAACCAGGGCTCTACCAGCTGTTTGTTGTAATGGTTCCTGGGCTGAAGCCTGTTTAAAAGGGGAGATGGTATTTTGTTTAAAAAAAAAAATTTGCTTCTTCTTGCCTGGGCTGTTAAACTGAAATCTATGGCTGCTCCGCTTGGGGCAATCAAGGTGGGGCACTCCAGCAGCGTCACGCTGGGCTGCAAGGGGGTGCTCCTTGACTGCCTGCACCTTTATCGCATCCTAGTCAGATGAGAAGTTTATGCTCCATTTATGGAAAAAAAATTAAGGCTACAAAATGGCTTTAATCTATAAACTGTAAAATGGTTGGTCCACTGAGGTGGTCAGTGACGGAGAACTTTTTGCAGCACAAAGTATCAACATTTAATTCGGTATAGTGCCATCAAGTGCCAGTCTTAGCCAGGCTGAAATTGCCCTGCTCATGTGTACTTGTTCTTTCTGCCTCCTCTTCAGCCCCTTTATGCCTCTGCTCCATCTTTGACTCTTTCCCTCTCTCTGTGTTTGAATTCTCCTGTAAGTCTGTCAGTGGCACTCATCTGGCACTCAACCGCATCATCTGCCCCTACTGCTCACTCATCCTGACACTGCTTGTCCCACCTACAAAGATGTGGGCTGTCCACACTGCTAGACCTACTTCACCAGATATCAGAGAGCCAGTGGGGCATGTCGCAGTTTGTTTGGCTGCGTTAGCAGCCATCCCTGCTGCTACAAATCCTGCCTCCCCACTCGTGTTGGACACCTATAGGGAGCCTGCCTTTCCTCTAGTGAGTCACCTGTTCTAAGGTCCAGCTCATGTGCAAGCAAAACTGGTAAACTCATGGCACATGATATCATGTGGGTATAAATAGTACAACCCTGGTGACAGTGCAACACTGATTACTGTTAGCACTTGGTTCATAGGAAGCATTGCAGCACTGGTTGGCTTCAATGCACCCATTCTGGGTAACGGGGGGGGGGGGAAAGTCTCCTATCAAGGAAGCTTTGGTGTATTGAAGAAACCTGAATGATATGAAAACTCTTGTTGGATAATCATTATGGCCTCTAAAGAGCTAGGGCCTCTGGATTAATTTTCACCAATTTTCATGAAAATTACAACCAGCTGGACCTAGGTTTGACCTGGCAAAAATTATCAGAATTGCCAAGCAAACATTTTGAGAAGTAAAAAGCTTTGGTTAAGAATATAAAGCAATTTCACCTAAACAGTCTCAGTTCAGTCCCAATTTTGGTTATATCCCAATAGTTATATAGTTTGTAAATAGCATTTACTGTAAAGTTTACTTTACAATCTTAACTGATGCTCTTTTTTTCCCCTCCCAATAGTCCAAACTGGGATACCTGACACTGATTTTGTGCACTGCACATACGCTGGTCTACGGTGGGAAGAGATTCTTGAACCCTTCAATGTATAGATGGTATCTTCCTGCAGCATATATGCTTTCTCTCATTGTTCCTTGCATTGTCCTGGCCGTTAAATTTGTTCTGATATTCCCATGTATAGAACGACCACTCACACAAATTCGACAGGGCTGGGAGAGGAACTCCAAAGGTTCAAAACAAGCAAATTACAATGATAGCAAGTCAGCAGTATAATCACTTAGTAAACACCCAATCTGTATATCATTGCAATGTCTCAAAAACTTAAATTTTATATTAATGTCCTTTCCCAGTTTTACATGCAGGAAAAGGCAAAAAGGAGGAAACTTTGCCAGGTCTGAGCAATTTATTGATATAAAAAATGACATAGGTCCAATCTTAAACACAAATAAAGCCAGAAGCCACTGGGAATGCTCTGTGACCCATGAGCTGGCTTCATCTCCCTCTCATTCACTTTATAAACTCACTGCTTGTCTGCCCCTTCCCACTCGCCTGGAGTCAAGACAGGAGGAAGAAACTGCCTGATTTCCCTCCTTTTATTAGTATGGAATCCCACTCTGGATATGGCACCACCAGTTGTTAGGCTGGCCCTGCCTGGACCATGGGCAAAGAGGAGCTCAGCTCTTTGATGGCTTTGCTTTCTCTCCATTAACCTCTGTTTCAGGAGAGGTCCTTAGCTACACGCCATGTATACCTTAAAGATAGCTGGCCAAGATTTGTTTGGTTTGTGTACAGAAATTTTACTGTTGGAAGTGGGTGGGCCAGTGGTCCTTGCTACACTGGACTACTGCAAACTCAGGCATCAGGCTGCTGGGAAGCGGGGAAAAGAGAGACTTTTCAAAATCATGGATAAGGAAAGTGGTGTCAGGAAAAGACAGACCTTGGTTATGGTGGTTACAAATGTGTGATTCTCCATGAAGAGTGACCAGTGATTGAGATTGTGATTATGCTGCATTCTCAAGTTAAATCAATTCGTCATTTTGCTTAATATGAATTTGTGGCCAGATTTGTTTAGTCTATGCTTATAATGAGTTATAATCTCTGGTGTAATATGCTGATTTATTGGAATTTTTTGTTATAAGTTCAATAAAGAGGAGGTCTTTTGCTTTCCAAAATCCTGGGGTTCAATATGACCAAGTGTTGCTCAGAAGCAGTTATATTGTGCATATTTCAGTGACAATGAAGAAAATCCTCAAAATAATTGATTTCTGAGAGTAATTTTGGAGATCTTGCAACACAGAAGGACTGTAAATGCTCTATAGATGTATGCTTAGCCACCAAGTCACCTGTGTGTGACAATGCTGCTGATAAACAGGGAGCAGATGGTGAATGATGACTTGGTACTAGAATTGAGGTGACTAGAGAAACCACCAGACCTCTTTGCACTGGGAGGGGAAAGAAAAGAATGAATAATGGGTTTTAACAGGAACAGACTTGCTCACCAACTCTTCTGTCGTATCACCACTGTTTCAGAGACAAGATCAACACATACAAATGGGTAATTGTAATAATGAAATGACTAATTGAAATTTCAAATGGGTAGTATCAACCAGGCCAGAATAAACAAAAAAATCATTATCTGACGCTTTCCAAAACCTTTACAATATGGGAGTAATTTTACTCCACTACATCCACCATAAAGATAAAAGTACTTAGCATGTACCTGACTCGTAAAAAAGCGTAGGCCAGAGGGTGGAATGATAAACGAGACAAATGTATTAGTGACTGGCCCAGCCAGATTCCTTATGTCTAGTCTAACACCAGTGTTATCCGCCTGCTAACTACAGCCACTAGTCACTGGTGCAAACTTCATATTTCAAGGTGTATTAAGCTATACATACCATTGGTGCAATTAAGTAGTTTTCTTTCCCCTTTTAACTGATAGGTGAGGGTCCACAGAGGGTCCATTTAAAGTTGTTTCAAATTAATGTTAAGAAATTATTGACTGAAGAAAGTGCAAAAGTCACAGTCCTAGCTCAATGTCCTTTTGGCTAAGTAAAAACACAGAAAAGATTATCCTTAAAATTCAACCCTCTGACACGCCAAGGGTAAAGTGGCTGGCTGTTTGGAGAAGAAAAGCTGAAAACAAAAAAGTAATGGATAAACAGAAATCTTACACACCTACAGTCTAGGGGCAAATTCTGCCTTCAGTAACACCTGTGTCAACAGAGTTACTTCAGACTACAGAGCACAAAAATATTTCCAAGATACACCAATTGCTTGTAACTTCAGGAAATTACTATTAAGAGCTCTGCAAATATAGGTGCAATTTCAGGAATTCCCCTTTCTACCTGTCACTGTGAAACTCCTAGGGAATTATCTCTGGGCTAGAGTATAAACTTCACTAATGAGTGCCAAGTAACAAAAGTCCAGTAGGTTTGATTTACCAAATACAAATATAGTGTGTACTTCATTGCCCCTTGTTTTAGAGAGCAGGGCTCCACAGATGAAAACTTTCCATTGTGCCGGAGGGTGCTTGACCCCTGGCTCTGCCCCAGGCCCTGTCCCCACTCCACCCTTTCCCTAAAGGCCCCACCCCACCTCTTCCCAACCCTGCTCCACCTCTTCCCACCCCGTTCCCCCAAGCATGCTGCGTCCTTACTCCTCCCCCCTTCCTCCCAGCCTCCTGCATGCTGTGAAACAGATGATTGCGGTGGGTGGGAGGTGCAGGGAGGGAGAGAGAAGCGCTGATTGGCAGGGCCGCCGGCGGGCACGAGGGGAGGCGCTGATAGGGGGGCTGACGGTAGGTGCTCAGCACCCACCATTTTTTCCCCATGGATGCTCCAGCCCCGAAGCACCCACAGAGTTGGCGCCTATGCAGGATTCTATGTACAGGGTTCTTTGTGTCAGGGTACTCAATACAAGGCCAAATCCTGTAGTCTTTACTCAGGCAAAACTCCCACTGCAAAGTAGTCCGTCTTAGTACAAAATTACAGCTGCATGATTTCATACAATCTTTGTAATCAGTAAGGGTTGTCACAGATCCACAGGATCAGTGCTATGGCCCCAGCTTTGGAACAGTCTCTGGGAGGACCCCACTCTTTCTTCAGGGTAAGCCGCGCAGCTTCATTGCCTCCTTAGGCCTTCAGCACTCCTGTTTCACATCATGAGCACCATTCAGCAAGTCCCACTTTGAGGCAGGACCCTGAGGAAAACTTGTACAGCCTTAAGGAACAATGCACCTCTGCAAGCACCTGCAGCCACACTCCACCAGCGTTGTGAAACAGTAGGGTTTATTAGTTGACTGGAACACAGCATAGGAAGACTTTGGTTAGTTTAGAGAAATTAAGGTTATAGAACAATCCATTCTGGGTAGCCAGAGCCCAGTCAAGCTGCAGTGAGCCCCCATTATTCAAGCTCTGTCTGTCCCTCTGTCTGATCTCCTATGTCAGACTCCTACATGTGCCCCCGACTGCTTCCCACAGCTGGCCCTTAAATTCCACCTCACCCCAGTTCTTTGTCCCCAAGCTGGAGAAATTCAGCTTGAAGTCCATATCTCTCTGGATCATTGGTTCCTAGGTGTCCAGGTCCAGGCTATTGAATTTGACAATGTCTTCTCAAGAGCTCCATTGATATGGAATCTAAGGCTCCAGAAAGTGAGTCACCCTTTGCACCTGTGTCTTAGCTTGCCCCAGGAACAAACAGTCCCTTTTCACCCACTAGGTCAAAATGCAGCATATAGGGGACACGGAGGCACATATAGGCTTCATTAAAATATTTTTTTTTAATTCCCACTTCATCACACGGGCTAAATAGTACCACCAAATGATGTAAGACCATGGAATATACACTTTGCCTCATGGGAGACTGAGGGTAGGGGGCCCTTTCTATAAAGATTGATATAAAATTTGTTTTGTGACTAGTATATGAACTAAAATGATTCCTTTTTTTTAAAGTGAGACATATTTTTAGTAAGGGTTTGTCTATATGAGGAAGTTAGTCCAGAGTTGCTAGTATGCTTTTAAATTCACACCCTAACTTACTCCCCCTGTGAATGTTCTTACTGCACACTACAACTGCGCTTGAGTAGTTTAGCTTAATGTGCTTCCAAAGTGCACTAAACTACTGCACACAAAGGCACTCTCAATGGTCAGTAAGCGTGTCCACATGGGGAGTTAGTGTGGAGTACCTCCCACACATTACTGCTGTGGCCTTTTTCCGCATGTAGACAAGTCCCGTGATGTTTCAGAGCTGTAGTCTGCAATTTTCTCTTTAGTCTAAGTTATTTTGCATTACTCCAGCTGGAATCAGACTAAAGGAGTAAAGCCCTAGAATCTGATGTGGTCAACCCAATAAAGAATGACATCTTGTTTAGTGTTGGGGATGGTGAAAAGTAATGTGGGTGCAGGCAGCACTAAGGGATTGATCCAAAGCCCTTTGACTGATAGAGTATGGTCCAGGGATGTTTCCTGTAAAAGTTTTTTCAAGTCTTCGCAACGGCCCCGAGTGGTGGAACTGCCCTCCAACAGGACATATTTTTCCTGTCTGAGCTGGAATGATTTCATATCCCGTTGTCCTGGGGCAGAATTATTTTAACTATTTATTACCAGAACATTTTAACAGAAATCGTAATGTGTAAGTATATTTATTTTTCTGTAGTAATCTTTACGTATTTGAACTATTCCACAACAGCTTTAAAACAATAATGATCAGCTGTGTAAAACAGCACCTGTACATTATACATATGGTTACTGGCTGAGTTTTAAATATGCCAAGTATGTTAGAAGTGTTAAAATTAAGAGCATATAAATTTTGGATTGGGTGTGTGCTGTTCATCTCTCAGAAGCCTAGAGAAGCCTTTGTGTGTGTAAGTGTTTAATGCCATCTTACGACTCCCTGCTGTAACAGCACATTAGCTTTCTGACTACACTGTTAAATCCAAATCAATGAATGGGTGCTTTAGAAAATATGAAATGCAGCCCTTTAAGCAATCATTAAAATATAATAGGATACTGGTGAAATTTACAGACTACATGGAGATCAGCACCAGAAGCCAGGTTTAGGGTTCATAGCACGGGAACGCTTTACTCTGATGAACAGGGATCAGCATAAGATCTTTTAAAAAAATCTACATACAGAACAGTAGGCGTGACTTAGGTTTGCTTTTGTCTTTTTACCAGTAAATGTTATGAATGTGTTTACGGAATATCTGTTGGAACCAATAAAATAATACTTTTCCTATTAGTAACAAGACCTGAAAACATTTTAATTGCATCAACTGTATGTGGGGCTTGAGACATTTTGGAGTGTCAAGTATGCACCAGAACCCAGTGCTACAGCTGGTACATGGATAATAGTACTGTTGGGACTACAGAGAATTTGGCTGGGTTGATCATTAGTTACATTTGGTTCCACTACCATTACACCAAGAGTCCCACAGTTTGCACCCTATTTTATCCTCAAGCAAGATCTTATGCAGGCTATAAATTGACATCTCTGAAATTCTTCCTAGCATCTGAATTCCTTGGCCAGAGCTTTCTAACCCTTGCTTCTAGGCTCAATACCAAATCCAAATTGTGACTTCTCAGGAGTCTTTCTGTAAAGAACCCCCTTCTCCTGCTTGTCGTGCTTTTCTCAGGGCCTCATTATTGTCACCATCTATTAGACAAGGTGAATTAGAAAAGTGTACCTTGTCCCAAATACAGTGACCTCTTCAGATCCACCAACCCAGATACTGGAGTGATGAGTGGTATAAATAGGTAGATGGAACAATTTTTCTTAACATGCTGCCCCTGATCAGAAACATTGTATTTTTAACCCCTCTCAGCTGCTGTTTGCTAAAATTAGCAAGTTATTAAGTCTTTAACATGCAAGCAATAGCCTCTGTTCATTTCCTTTTTCACACACTCCTAAAGCTTTTCTTTAGTTCAACTTTTTTTCCATTTTATTTGCTTTTGCCCTGATCCGCACTTGTTTCTAACTCTGCCTGGTAAACTGAGCAGTTCTTTCATTAAAAGGAAATCTACAACTCCCAAGAGGTACTTGGGTATCACATCAGTTGGACAAATAGCACATATCTCACTGTTATGGCTTCTCTAACAATGTTCTCGATTTTGGGGGCCCAGAATTGCCCTAAAGATGTGGTATAGACATCTTCACATAAATGATGGCCCAGACAAGACTAAAGCCATTGAACTACTGATTTCTGAGGAGGAAATTTATAAAACACAGCACTACAGAGCCCTGAAAAAATACAATTAATCACTTGTGCTGACCACAGGGGTGTGTGAATCTAATAACTTCTTAGAAGCATGCAAACCCAAACTGACATTTTTAGTTCATATGTGTTCACAGTCCGCCAGGTTTGCTTAGCTTGGGGCTCATTCAGACACAATCCCTCTAAGCACACCTTGTTGAAACTTAATATCCAAGTCTCCTCTCACTTACATGGATTTAAATCAAGAATAATTCTCCTGAAATCAACAGTCACATCAATATAAAACTGGTGCAAAACAAACCATTACCCTTTAGCATTTTACAGTGCCCTTCTTTTCCTACAGTTTTCATGAGTGACCAGCTGCCCCTTTCCTATATCCAGCTCATTAGAGAGTTCACCAAGTATAGTTCCTCTCCCTTCCTGCCTTGACTGACTGGAGGAGAAGACGTCCATGATAACAGGGGATGGACCAAAACTGAAATAAAAGATACCCCAAACTAGATCCAGATTTGAGAACCTGTGATGATATTAGAGTCTCTCTTAAAATATGAAACAAATCAAATGTCTCCCATTTTCATGTTTTATTATCAGAGAATCATAGAAAAGAAGGTCTGGAAGGGACCTTGAGAAATGACCTAATCCTTCCCATTGCACTGAGATAGGACCAAGTATACCTAGACCAACCCTGACAGATGTTTGTCTAACCTGTTTTTAAAATTCTTCCTGCCCCACTTCATTGCCAAACAATGGCTACTTCACTGGTGATTGTCAATCAACTTTGACACTTGGCTACAGGTGTCCCCTTGTCCTCTGCCTTTGAGAAACAGGTGTACCCACTCCCCACACTTGTCTGGTAAACACATTTCAGTCATAATTCCATCTTATGTTCATAACTTTATATATAATGTTGCTATACACATTTCACCCTGATATTATTGATGAGCAAGTTATTGTTTTTCAAATGATACCTCACAAGGAATATTTTATACAAAGATTATTACAGGATGTGTAGGATATGAATATAGGGGTGAATTCAGTCACACCTTAGTGCTGCCCTCACCCACATTACTTTCCAGCATCCCTAACACCAAACAAGATGTTGTGCTTTATTGGTTTGAAAACATCAGATACTGGGGCTCTATTCCTTTAGAAAAGGAGTACTTGTGGCATACCGTGGAAACTGCAGCAGGATGCATCCGATGAAGTGAGCTGTAGCTCACAAAAGCTCATGCTCAAATAAATTGGTTAGTCTCTAAGGTGCCACAAGTACTCCTTTTCTTTTTGCGAATACAGACTAACACGGCTGTTACTCTGAAACCTATTCCTTTAGACTTATTCTAGCTGGAGTAATGCAAAAATAACTCAGATGATTCAGAAAATTGCAAACTACAGCTACCAAACATCATAGGGCGTGTCTACACGAAGGAAAAATCCCACAGTAGCTACTGCAGCTACCTACTCTGCACAATTCCCCATGTGGACACTTACGCCACACTCATTGATTTTAAGGCCAGAAGAGACCATCATGATAATCTAGTCTGACCTCCCGCACATTGCAGAATCTCCCCCACCCACTCCTGTAGTAGACCCCCTAACCTCTGGCTGAGTTACTGAAGTCCTCAAATGATGATTTAAAGTCTTCAAGTTACAGAGAATCCACCATTTACTCTAGTTTAATCCTGCAAGTGACCCGTGCCCCATGCAGCAAATGAAGCCCCCCAGTTCCTGGAGGAAATTCCTTCCTGACCCCAAATATGGAAATCAGTTAGATCCTGAGCAAGACCTGCCTGCCAGACACCTGGGAAAGAATGCTGAGAGCTTGTCTACACAATTAGACTGCAGCAAACTGGAGTGAGACTCTACCTCTTACTAGCCTGCTGTGGTCTAACTGGTCATGTGCACCCTACTGAAGCATGTTAACAATTCTTGATTTTGCTTTGAGCTAGTCCCCTTTCAAAGAGAACTAGATCAAAGCAACTTCAAGCCACATGCTCTTTATTTTCAAGTAGAGTAAAACTAAATAAAAATACATTGAAAACATATTGATGAAGAACAAGTCTTTCCCTTCACATTGCAATGTCTTCAGTGCATCTGGAAATTGCAGTGGTTTGAAGGACAAGAAGAAAGCAATGCAATGTAGCATAGGTCAACTGATGCACTGTATTTACTGTATTTTTGAGATATACAATTTTAGGAACTCCTCAATCCCCAATTAGTTTGTAAAACAGGGGTTCTATTGTAGTTAATACAATAATCTCAAAAATAATTGTCGAAGGGGGTGTTTCTAATGAAGCTCTGTAGGAACTGGTTCCTGGTACCTCGGCCCGTGCTGCTTCCCGCAGCCCCTTTTGCCAGGGATGGCAAACTGCCGCCAGTGGGAGCTGCAATCGGCCAAACCTGCAGACGCTGCAGGTAAACAAACTGTCCCGGCCCACCAGCGGATTTCCCTGACGGGCCACATGCCAAAGGTTGCTGATCCCTGGTATAGACACACCTAATCCTGTGTCTTTGTAGAGGGCTAGACGAGATGATCCTTGCGGTCCCTTCTAACCTTATGGTTCTATGATTCCTCCTGCATTCAGGGAAACAGGACTTTGTAAATAAACAGGATTGCACCAGAGAAATACCAGATTGTCCTCCTAATAGAAAGAACCCACATGACCCCAAATATTGGCTAACCTCTGGAGTCAAAAGGGGTAACAATATCTTCACCGGGAGAAAATACCAGGTACTAAAGGGGTCTTTAATTTAGCAGAGAAAGGCATAACAAGAACCAGTGGATGGAAGTTAAAGCCAAATAAATTCAAATGAGAAATAAGACCCAGATTTTTAACAGGAAGGTTGATTAGCCCTTGGAATAAACTAACAAGTGAAGTAATGAATTCACCATCTCTGATGTCTTCAATTTTAGATTGGATATCTTTCTGGAACATATTCCTTATTCAAAGACAAGTTATTGAGCTCCATACAGTGGTAACTGGGTGAACTTTTATGGCCTGTGTTATAGAGCAGATCATACAAGATGAGCTAATGGTCACTTCTGACCTTAAAAATCTATGAATTAGTCTATGACTGAACTGTGAATTTGTAAAGCCCCGTATAAATGCTGAGTATGCTACAAATTAACATACCCTTCATGTACTGTTCAGGGAGATCCTTAAATGGAAAATGGAGATGAGAAAATAGGCCACCTTGTAATATGTATCCAATATTTGTAAACTAAAGAAAAACGGATTTTCCTCTGAGCCATTTAGAAGGAAAACTTTCAACGATCAGTCCAAATGACACTCTTGTTGCTAGAGCTATACCAATATTAATACTTAGTCAAAATAAGCTTTTTTGGCAAATGCAGTAAGTGAAAGGACACAATCGAATCTAAACTACGCAGCTGTTACAAAATAACACAGGAAGTAATTCGATCTCTCATCTGTGGATGAAGGAGGAAGTAAAAGGAAATAAGGTATGTGGAAAGATCAGTCAGTTAAAAACATGATCTTATCCCGAATGTAATAAGAGTTAAAAACAAAACACACCCACACAGTGGCAATTCATAGTCATTGGGCCCTCTTCTGTAATGTGGGACACCCCTGTTCAAATCACTCTTTCATGTCTGGCAGAGGGGGGGTACTGAACTCAGGCGTCCCACATCCCAGGGAGTGCTTTAAGCACTGGGTTAAAGATGTAAATGTAAGCGGGGAAATAGTCCCGCTATTGTGGGGAACTTTCCTGGCTTCTGTACTATCCTGGTGAAGTGGGCTAGCGAAAGGATCTGAGTCCTCACTCCCACTTCCTTTACGCAGTGGCCTCCCTGCCCTGGAGGACTCCCCTTCCACTCTCCTGTCTGGCAGAGTCCTCGTAACCCCAACAAGGCTGGGCCCAGGATTCCTGAGGGGCTCAACCCCCAACCCTGCTGTGATCACCCAGGACAGGGGCTAGGGTGTCCCCACCCCGGGGTACTCTCTCTGCACTGGGCACTTCTCTGACCCAATGACCATTACATACAAGTTAAAGCAAATGCAAGTTATTTAATCAACAATTAATTTTAAAAAGAATAAGGAAAAATG